CCCATACCAGACCCCGTGCCGCCACCGAGAGAGTGGGTGAGCTGGAAACCCTGCAGACAGTCACAGGACTCAGCCTCCTTACGGATCACATCGAGGACGGAGTCCATCAGTTCAGCACCCTCCGTGTAGTGGCCCTTCGCCCAGTTATTGCCAGCGCCGCTTTGCCCGAAAACAAAATTGTCAGGGCGGAAAATTTGGCCAAAGGGACCAGCACGAACGCTGTCCATGGTTCCGGGTTCGAGATCCACTAGAATAGCCCTGGGAACATATTTTCCATTAGAGGCCTCATAGTAATAGACATCGATGCGTTCTAACTGGAGATCGGAGTCGCCGTGATAAGTTCCAGTTGGGTCTACACCATGCTCGTCAGATATAACTTCCCAAAACTACAAAATCTTGATTCTTTAAGGGTGCGTAGCATACCTTAGCACCAATTTGGTTGCCGCACTGTCCAGCCTGAATGTCAACAATCTCACGCATCCTAAAGCTACAATTAAGCCGAAAGTCGGTCTATGCGGTGCGACGAACGGTAATGACCGAATCATGAAAATTTTCATAAGTATTAAAACCTTATGGTGCATTTTTGCAATTTTATAAAATATATTTTTTAGTGGCTTTTATTAACGTTTTTAGCATTGAATAATTTTAGTGACGCACTCTTTATATTTTCTGTTTTTGAGACGCAGCGCAAATGCTGGTTATCTTTGTTATAGAAAAATATTCGATAGACTTAAAAATTTTATTAATGCCTTTCTACTGTTTAGCTGACATTTGCGCTTACTATAGTTCTCTGAGTCTTCCTATCCAGTCTAAGAACGTATCTATTGTGGCTGAATACTCATGTTCTGAGTTCAATCTAACCATTTAGTCCCCACTAATGCATTTCTCAGGAACGGGAGGCAGTTGGATTGCATTTGCCATTTATTTGCCAAGCGTCTTTCGTTGTTGTGCCCTTGTTTATTTGTCTATGCTTTCGGTTTAATTGGTTGCACTGGCGCTAAAGGTAAGATGACCGTTTGCGTTCCGTTTTAACCTGGGAAGTAATTCAGGCTGCTGTTTGGTTCGGTTTTGCAATCACTTTGGCTGATTTTTTTGTGGCTGCAGTGAATTTCGATCACTGAAGAAATTTTGCTTAATACAGTTAATTTTCGCCTATTAAATCATTCATCTTAGGCATTAGGACATTTTTGAATGGCACGAAATACGGATCCACATCTTATTGTTGCTTTGGCTGATTGGTTTGTGCTCATTGCTTAACTACTACGTCGTTTACCATGAAGTAGAAAATAGCTACATCTCGGTACATTTAGTGCATAAATTGGAGTCATGTAATTTATGATTTTTTGCAATGAGTTGTGTCAATCATATGTCCTCCAACCGCCATGCTGCTTTTGCAGGCAAGGTGTTTTTACAGTTGAAGTGGCTGCACCCCAATTTGCGTTTTTCCATTCTGATCAAGTAGTAATGGGAATTTTGTGTCTAAGATTGTCGTACTGCCCAAAGTTTGCGGCAACTTTCTACCTAGCTTAGTAGGCTTTTCTGACGCTTTGGGGGATACT